CCATACCCCCCACATACACCCTGCCCCCCACTACACACCGCCATGCCACAGCCTGGCCCCACTGCTCTCCCCTGAGTGTTCAGTGAAGCTCTAGCATTCGTGACTTATTTTTTAGTTTATAAATTTGAAACAACTTCAGACTTAGAAGAGTTTGCACACACTTCTCCTTCTCACCCATGTGTTACCACCTTTTATTACCTTAGCGTGATAACGCTAGCGAGTCGGTAACAGGAGAAGCTGTTCACACCTGGGCCGTTGTTTCCCTGACGTGATCTCTGGAGCACATGTTGTAATAAACTGTGTTTTTGTTTTGAAGAAATCTGTCATATGAGCTTTAATGAACATGTTTTTAATTTCTCAGGAAGAAGGAGTATCCCGACTTATTTGAATGGTTTTGTGTGGAGACGCTGAAAGTTTGCTGTTCACCGGGAACGTATGGGCCAGACTGCCTTGGTACGTCGTTGGGGAAATCTTGAGTGTCCTGCATCATTCCCAGTGTCCGTGTCGTGATTCCCAGGTGGGCAGAGGCATGGTTGGGACCTGGGGCCATCAGCTCCCACAGGGCCCAGGGCGCCGGGTCCCTGCCCCTCCACGCCGTAGGGCCTCCTCCTGGGGGCCGGACAGCCCTGAGTGCCTGCTCCTAAGAGGGCTCCTAACTCAGGGGTCTGCAGGCCTTCGGTGGGGCCCCCGTGGGTTGGTCTTAACCCAGCTGTGTGGGTGCTACCCTCTGAGTGCAAGGAGGCAGCTCTGTGGCTTTCGCGGCCCCCGCCCGGCTCTGCCCGCGGAGCAGCAAAGACCTGTCTGTGGGAGGCGAGGGGGCAGCGGGCGTCTGCGGGTGGGATGCGTCGCCTCAGCCTTCAGGGGGAAGCCACAGTGAAGAGGCGCGCGTTGAACCAAAGCCACGGTCCGTGTGTGGCGTTGCCAGTCACTCCGGCGCTCAGCGGGATGGAGCGGCGCGCGTTGCAAGTCGGGACCCTCTCCCTGGCCGCGGCCGCCTCCTGCTGTCCTGCCGGCGTGTGGCCGCGGCGGGCTGTCCTCGCTGTCCCAGGGGCCGCACCCACGCCACGTGTCAGCGTCCCCGTTGTCCCCACGTTTCGGGGAGGCTGCCCGAGGCCCCCCTCGTTCCCGAGCAGGTGAGCCCCGTGCCTGCAGACCCCAGGGCGTCCTCCGGACGGCCTCGCCGCGCTTGCGGGCTCATGAGCTCCCGAGAGGAGCTTGTTGAGGGAGGAAGTGTGGGTTCATGAAGCGATGCCAACGCTGTTTTGGTTGAGAAGGGGTCGGTGAGCAGGCTGCCGCGCTCCCTGGGGGAGTGTCTGAGTGGCGGGTCTGTGTCGCCCGCAGCGTGCCAGGGCGGGTCCGAGAGGCCCTGCGGCGGGAACGGCCACTGCAGCGGGGACGGCAGCAGGCAGGGGGACGGGTCCTGCCAGTGCCACCTCGGCTACCAGGGGGCCACGTGCACCGACTGCATGGACGGCTACTTCCGCTCGCCGAGGAACGAGACGCACAGCGTGTGCGCAGGTACGTGGGCTGCGCCGGGGCACGCGGGAGCAGCCTTTCTTGGAGCTGCCGCCACACCTGGGGGCCCGTTGGCTCCCCCCGCACCCCCGGAGCTAGGAGGCCCTTGTGAACCGCGCCAAGGGCCGCAGCAGCACGTGCAGGCCCCGGACGGTCTTGCTGTCTGTCCCTGAACAAGCCCAGGAGGGAAGAGTGGTCCACCCTTCCCCACGTCCTCCGGACAAGGACCGAGCGGGTGGACCGTGTGGAGTCGGTGGCCGTGTCCCATCCACGCCAGCCTTGGTTCTGGGTGACCTGGCACCTGCGGTGTCCTCGCAGGGGCCTGCTGTCGCCCCGCGGCCACCTGGGCAGGATGACCCGCCTGCGTGGTGCAGGCCGCAGAGGCCCGTGTCCCCGCACCAGACGGCAGAGCGGTGGCCCAGACGAGAACTAGCACACCCGGGGCCACAGCGCGTGGCCCCCCGGCCCCGTCAGAGGACGTGCTGCCTCCCTTACCCTGGCACTGGGTCAGGCGGGCCCTTCCCACCCGGGTCCTCAAAGGTGCCCGGCCATTGTTCTGGGCTCCCTCCCGGTCGGGCCTCCGACGGGCCCGTGGGGTCGTTCGCGTCGGCAGTGAGCGCGCTGAGCGCCGGGCGGACGCCGGCCGTGCCTTCCGTGCGTGGGGCGTGGGCCCGCGGCCCGACGGAGGCTTGCGCAGACCGCCGCGGAGGATGGCGAGCACGGCTCCCTTCTGCATACGTTTTCTCATCGATCTCTTGCCGACGTTGGGAGACGTCTTGGCATCAGCGACTGAGCTGAATTCCTGCGTTAGGGCCCGTCGTCGGTCCGCGGCTCCCTTGGACGTTCCGTGCAGGACGTGTTGGAGCACCAGGAAGGCCGTGGCCTCTCTGGTTCCGGCGCCTGGCCCTTGCAGGGCACACCGGGGCTGGAGGCCGCCTGGCGGGCGTGGGCTCTGGGGTTTGGGCAGCTGCCTTCCTCGGGTCATAAGCCCTTTCCCTGGGGTTCCTGTCCGCTAAGAACGTGACCGTGAAGGGGCCCTGAAAGCCCATGTGGTGTTTTTCTCATTAAGTTCAGGAATATTATGAAACACGAGAGTCGATTTTTATATTGTTGAATGAGCCTTGCTTTACTGGGGTTTTTTCTTACTTGTATTTGGTTTTTGTTTTCGTCCTAGTGAAGGTAAATTCCTAATTTCTGAAATGACCTTTGTGTCCTGTTTGTTACTGAGAATGGGATTCACGCATGTTGACAGGTGTCCCACCTCTGCTTTCCAGCTTGTGATGAGTCGTGTAAGACGTGCATGGGCCCTACCAACAGAGACTGCGGCCAGTGCGCGGTGGGCTGGGTGCAGGAGGACGGCGCCTGCGTGGGTGAGGCCGGGCGGACTCCCCTCCCCTCCCCTCCCCTCCCCTTCCCTCCTCTCCGCCTCTCCCTCCTCCCTCCTCCCTCCCTCCTTCCTCCTCTCTTCTCCTCCCCCTCCCCTTCCCCCTTTCTCTCCTCTCCTTCCTCTTCCGCTCCTTCTTTCTTGCCTCCGTCCCCCTCCCTTCTCCAGGTACAGGCAGGGAAACTGAGGCACAGACCTCCCTTTGGCCTGGTCTAGCCGCTCAGCCACAGAGTGGAGGCATGCCTTCCTGACACACACACACACAAGGCCGCAGAGTCCAGGCCCTGTCCCCACCTGTCCCCACCTGTCCCCACGCGCCCAGCCTGGTGGCCACCGTGTGCTTCTGCTGTACCCTTTCCTTTGAGCTCCAGCCTGCCTGTGAGCCCTGGCTTCCAACCCAGTGCCTCAGGAGCCCCGGGGAGGGCCTGGCAGTGGGGCCAAGGGGCTCCCCCTCAGGCCCGGGTGCCGGCAGGCAGCGGGAGGAACGGCAGGCAGAGGCCAGGCTGCGGGCAGCAGACCTGTCCCTAGTGGCTCGTCTCGAGTGGGTGGTGGTCCCAACACCGACCTGGAGCTTCTGCGTGTCCACGCGGAAGCACAGGATGCTCACGGTAGCTCTTGGTCCCTCACAGTGGCCCCTCCCCCGGGGACGCTAAATGTTCCTTGTCCCCCCTGCACGTGAAGGCCTCCGGGAGAAATATGGACATGCGTCCTCCACACAGTGGCCACCTCCCTCTCCAGGCCGGCCGTGGATTGTGTCCGGCCACCCACCGTGTCATGTCCACGGGGGTCCGGGGGGCCTGTCCCTCACAGCTGCGCTGCTGTGTTCCAGATGTGGACGAGTGTGCGGCAGAGACGCCTCCCTGCAGTGACCAGCAGTACTGTGAGAACGTCAACGGCTCGTTCGTATGCGAAGGTGCCTGGGCCCCGGCTCCTGTGGGCGGGCGGGCCGGCACCTCCCCGGGCCCTGGGCTCCAGGTCCTCCTTTGCGAGCCGTTGTCCGCGGTTCGCCCACGTGACTTCTGTGGGTTCTGCCTGCTGTAGAAAGTGGAAGGTGGCAACCCACGTAATAAGATATTTGCTACAGAAAAATCAGAAAATTCAGATAAGTTGAAAAGATGATAATTTTTTTTTTTTTAAGATTTTTATTTGTCAGAGAGAGAGAGAGCGAGAGCAGGAACACAAGCAGGGGGAGTGGGAGAGGGAGAAGCAGGCTTCCGGCCGAGCAGGGAGCCCGATGCGGGGCTCGATCCCAGGACCCTGGGATCATGACCTGAGCCGAAGGCAGATGCCCAACGACCGAGCCACCCAGGCGCCCCAAGACGATAATTTTTAAAACCACCAATTCTGTGGAGTGGGGAGCTCTGTTAACAGTGTTACCGCGCTCGGCCTCGTTCCACGGGGCCATGACTGTTTACGCCGTGTCACGTCGTCCGTGGTGTGAACGTGCCTGTTCGTGATGCTGGAGGCTGCCCCCATTCCACGGTCTTCTTCGGCAGTCTGTTGTGGGATGTTCAAGTCCTACCAGTTCTCCCACAGCTGTGAACTCGGAATACCGCGGTAGATAGAGCTTTGCGTATTCTTCCTTGTTTTCTTGGGATTTGTTTCCAAACCGCTCGGGAGAGTGGATTGTAGGGCCCCGGCGTCCCCAGAAGGTTGCACTGACGTGCTCTCAGCAGTGCATGAGGCTGCCTGGCCTCCCCCCGCCGCGTCTGCGGCCCCCCAGGGCAACGGCCCTGACGGTGGTGAGCCCTCACCCGGGGAGCGTCCGCGTTTCTCCCTGGGTCTTCCCACCGAGCTCCTAGCCGGCCGGTCCCGCAGTGCCCGAGCTGGAGGTGGTTTTGTCTTGCTCCGAGAAGACGGTCTGCAGAAGGGGGGCGTCCGTGTGCGGTCGCGGCTCTGGGGGTGCAGCTCGCTGCTTTGCCGGGAGACGGGGCTGGGGTGTCGAGGACACACTCTCTGTGGCACCCACACGTTGATGAGGGGGACGCCAGATTGTCACGTGGCGCGGCTTGCGGTCCCATTTTGCTCACAGGCGGCTGACGTCGATGCCTGTCCGCTCTTGTTCTAGAATGTGATTCTACGTGTGTGGGCTGCACGGGGAAGGGTCCGGGACACTGTAAAGAGTGCATCCCTGGCTACACCAAAGAGAGCGGCCAGTGTGCAGGTCAGTGCCCTTGCGTCTGTGCTGGACTAAGACGGAACGTGGCAGAGGGGCCACCCCGTGGACGGTCCCGCGAAGAGCTGGTGGGGGTGGGGCACCGGCTCCAGCCCTTTCTGCGACTGTTTCCCCCAGCCTCTCAAGCGTGAGATGCAGAAGCAGCAGGTGGGGGACCGAGGGTCTGTCCCGGCCGGCCCCCAGGTGTCAGGTGTGCGTGGTGCTGGCGATCCTGCGGCCGGGGGCTCTGCTCCAGCCTCCCGCGCCCAGCCCCCCCACTTGCCACCCCCCACGGCCCCCGTGGCTGCACGTCAGGCCCTCCGCGGTCGGGGCCCGGCTGGAACCCGCTTGGAAAAGGCAGCGAATCCACCGATGCCCCCACGGCGCGAGCTCGCGTGGGGCTTCCCAGCGCCACACGCCTGCGCTGTCCCTTCTCGGCTCCTCTACCCGTCCGCGACCCCCCCCCAGACCTGCCCCGTCCCGTGTCAGTTTCCGGTGCGGGAGCGAATCGTGAGCGCGTGCGTCCCGTGATGGTGGCGTGTTTGCGGACGCAGCGGCCGGCCCCAGCGAGCGTCTCTGTTGCAGACGTAGACGAGTGCGCAGGTGCAGAGAAGGCGTGCACGCGCCAGGACGAGAACTGTTACAACACTCCCGGGAGCTTCGTGTGCGTGTGTCCCGAGGGCTTCGAAGACACGGGAGACGCGTGCGTGCGGACGCAGGCCCCGGGCGGCGGTGAGCGGTGTGCGGCGGGCGCGCGCCCGGCTCGGAAGCTCACAGCAAAAGCGGCCGAGGAGGGTGCTGGCGTGGTCGGGGAAGCCGGGAGGGGAAACGTCCGTGGGGGAGGTCGGGCGGGAAGGAGAGCCGGTGACCCCAGGGGCGGCGGGCGGGCCGGCAGGAGAGGCCGGCGGCCGTCCCCGCGGGGGCTTCCCGAGAGCCTGGGGCCGGCACCGCCCCGAGCCTGTGGGGCAGGATCGGCCCGTCTGTGCCCGCCTGTGCCCGCTTCCGGCGGGTCAGGCTCGGCTTTCCCTGGCTTACAGCTGCGACCCTCCGATGCCTGCCTCTGTCCACGTGGCCTTCTCGTGGCCTGTGTGTCCATGTCCCAGTTTCCCTCTTCCTATACGGACCCACCGCAGTGACCTCCCCTCACCCTGACCGTCCGTAAAGCGCCCCCAGTTCACAGTTCTGGGGTTAGGATGGCCCCATGTTCTGGGGACACGGCTCTTCCGTGACGGTCTCGTAGAAGTTGTGGAAGAACGTGGAGCCAAAGGGGCAGGGGCGGTGTCCAAAGGACACTGACGCAGAGTTTTCCTGAACGAGGAAGACCAGACGCAGACTCCGGGAGCTGCCCGACCCTGAGCCGGGCCGAGAGGCGCAGGGGCACAGCCAGGTGCTCATAGTCAGCCCTGGGCGCCAAGGACAGGGACGAACCCAGTGTCCGCGGGGAGCAGGGCCACGTGCCACCTCCGCCCCCAACATGTCCTGGGGGGCCTCCCCGCCTGCACCCCTCACCATCGTCCAAGCTCCTGTTGGCCCCGGCCGATGGGGGAGCGCCTCGCCATCCCTGTCTTCTGCACCCGAAGCAGAGGGCAGGCCCGAAACGCCCTGCGGCCGCACCTCCTGCCTGGATGCCCCCAGCCGTGGGGGCTCGGGACCGTCCCCGCGGAAACCTGGCCGCCACACCCTCAGCGCCTCTCGTGCTGGGATTTTACCCGACGATCTGTGTTTGTTTCCCGGCAGAAGTCACAGAAGAAGACCCAACACAGCCGCCCTCACGTGAAGATTTATGATGCGCGTCCGGAGGCCAGACCTGCCCTTTAAATTATTCAGACTGACATCCTGGAAATGCGGTCCTCACACCCCTGTTTCTCCAGGGGATGGCGGAGGCGAAGCTGCCACCTTGGAAATGGTTCATGCCCATTTGGCCCTTAAAAAAGCTGCAGTTCCTGGTTGTTCTTACACAGATTTGTATATTTTGATACCGTTGTTTATAATAAAATTGACCATTGAAGGTAGTCAGGCACAGAACACGTGCGAGTCTGTCTCACTGAAAAAACACGAATGCTTCAGGATGGGGTGTGCCCCACGCGACCTGCTGGCCCTGGGGCGGCCCCACCACGGGCTCGCGAGGGTCCTGGGAGTCTTGACTGGGAGAGTGGGTGTTGTGGAGGCGGGACCCCCGGGGCCGGACACGGCCATCCCGCCTTCGGGGCTGCAGCTGGAGAAGAGAGTCCATCGTAAGCCCCGGGGCCAGTTTCTCATCCAGGAATGAAGTTGAGAAAAACGCAGGCTGTGGCTTCATGGGGAGGCCCCTCCGAGCCCCGCCGAGAGTGTTCTCACCGGCGGGAGCAGCCAGCCCCCCGGGCTCAGCCAACCCCAAGTGAGCACCCGCACCTCCACTCCCGTCCAGGCGGCTGTCACCCTGGGGGCGGCCGCCTGGCCCCACTGTCCTGGCACCAAGGACCTCAGCGCCCACACATCCCTTGCTGCATCTGCGGCACTGCGAGGGAACTCCTGCAGGCAGGACTCCGTGCGGGTCCTCGCTGGGCAGGGGACCACGTGCTGGCAGGCGGATCCCACCCCGGCCCAGTCTCGTGTCGGCTTCTCCCTGGACCCCCGCGGGCCTCAGCTGGCCTCCCTGGCTTTGCCTCTGTCTCTGCGGTGGGGGACAAGGCCAGGCGCCCCTGAATTCCTAGGGGAAACACAAGTCACGTTGGCCGGACGGGGCAGCTGCCACACAGGTGGGGGCTGCTCTCGTCCAGGCCAGGCCTGCTGGGGAGTCCACACACATGGTCTGCTCATGGAGACGGGGCGTCAGGGTCTGGGCCATGGGACAGTGGGAGCCCAGCGGTGGGGGAGGCCGCCACTGCAGCTGGGGGTTTCCAGGGAACTGGGCTGTGGGTTCTCGGAGGGAGGGAGGGCAAGCCTGAGAGCGGGGGGCTGGCGGGGGGCATAGCAGGCGGGTGTCAGTGGGGAGGGGTCAGGCCCTGCTGTTTTGGACGCGAGAAAACAGCCCCACAGCTGGCTCTCCTGCGGTCCCCACGTTGGCCTGCTGCGGTCTGTGGGGCCCCTTACGGGGTCTGAACCCTGCCTTCTGCTGTGTCACGGCCCCACCCCAGACCGCCACCACGGCACTGCGGACCCGGGGAGGGAGGTGGCCAGGGCGGGCATCTCCGTGCTGACAGCAGCTGTGGCCACGGGCCTGGGTGCCCAATTAACCCCATCTCGTTCTGCCCGGAACCCCAACTCAGGGCCCCCCAGCAGGGCATGGCAGCATCAGGCTGACCTGGCTCCTGGAATGTACCAAGTGTGGTTCCTGCTCAGGGCCTTCATCCTGCTGTCCCACTGGGGCACCCAGGGGCTTGCTCTGGCTCCGTCCCTCCTCCGGGGTCCCACTCAGCGGTCACCTCTCCGAGGACTGCCTGGCCCCTTCCCCAAGGCGCGTAGGTCTGGAGCCCACGGCGGAGCGCCCCCGCCTCAGTGTCCTCACCTGTAAAGAGGGGCATGTTCCCAGTCAAGGGACCTGCAGACAGAGGAGGCGGAGGGTCCCCAGCCTGGCCCACGGTGTGTGTAGGGGTCGTCCTGGGGTACGACGTGGGCAGGAACGGTGGGCCTGACCCCAGCAGGCCTGGCGTGGGGCCGTGGGTACAGGCAGGGTCCTGGGGACCATGGTGCTGGACGCCAAGTTGTGGGGACCAGGTGCTGAGCACTTAGATGTCGGAGCCCTTCCTGGGGCTCTGGCTCTGCTAGGCTTGGAGGTGACTCTGTGGATACCCCGCCTCTGGCGGCGACCCCTGCCCAGGCCCTGCAGCCTCCCCTGCGGGCCGCCCGTCAGGCCTGGCCAAGGGACCACGGGTCCAGGCCCCAGGCGGAGCGGCCGCGGTGGCGGCCGGGCCCGGTGGAGGGGCGCAGCCAGCAGGTGGCGCTGCAGGACCAGCCCCGGCCGCACAGCAGCCTGGAGCCTGGAACCTGGAGCCGGCCTGGTGAGGCAGGTGGGTGCGGGGCTTCACGGCCCCCAGGAGGGCTGGGGTCCCAGGTCAGGACACTCTGTGGCCAGGGCCCCCAGCCCCCAGCGTTGACAAGAGTGTCGTGCTCCCAGGATCCAAACTCTGCAAGAAGTTTGGGCACCTTGGAAGTAGGGCGGGGCTCAGCCTCAGCGGCCCCACAGGAAACCCCAAAACTGATGACCTTGGAGTGACCCAGTGGAAGAGAGGAACCGTGCATTTCTGCTCCCTCTCCGCACCCTGGATGCTGCCCAGGGAGGGGCTCACGGGGCCAGCGAGTCAGCTCCCAACCCCACCCCCACCCACCTGTTATGGCTGGGACACCGCCTCGCTGCGTAGGATCACAGGGTGCAGACGCTGCCCTCCCCCGCCCCAAGCCGGCAGCCTGCCTCTCCCGCGGTCCTCTCCCGCTGGCTGGGCTTCTGCTCCCCACCGGCCCTGGCGCATGGGGCCTGGGGGACCGGACCGGGGCCCCGCAGGGCCGGGAGCCTCACGTTTCCAGGCCTCTCGGCTCCTGGACCCCAGGGTCCTCCTCTGGGGACACAGCGCCGCGCCCCGGTCCTGGCGGCTTCCCTCCTGCAGGATGGCCTTCCACACACACCCTGCCAGCTAGAAGCTTCCGGAGTGTGCCGGAGAGCCCCACGGTCACGGCCACCGTGCCCCGCTCTGACTGAGGGACAGCGGGTCGCTCCATCTGCCGTGTGGGTACATGGGGCCCACGCCACAGGCGCAAACACCCTAGAAACCCGTGGTTCTCCACAGGTGGCCCAGGACACTTGTCACAACTGGGTGGGGGGACGCCCGGCGCTGCTCAAACCCCCCAGCGCCCAGGACGCCCCCTGCCCCCGCGGTGGGGGGAGGCTGACCTCAGGCCCGGGGCCTCCGTCCCGTGGGCTGCAGGCGCCGTGAGCCGAGGCCCCTGTGAGAGTCGCTGCCTGGGGCTGGGCTGTCTGGGCTCACCCGTGGGACCGACGAGCAAGCAGCCTTCATCTCTGCTGTCTTGGCCATTCTGTCTGCGCACTGTGCCACCCCGGGCCCATGACCGGCCGGTCGCTGCCACGCAGCCGAGTGCTTCTGTCTACCTGTCGCGTGGTGGGTGTCCATGTGGGACTTAAAACGTCCGCCCCTGTGCCCACCCCATGGTCTCCTGTACGCCTCTCCCTGGACTCCTTGTCCCTGAAACGGCCATTTCCCTCCTCCCATCCCCCTGGCCCGCCAGCTGGGCCCACTGCCCAAAGCCCTACAACCTGAGAGGGCCACCCCCCACCCCCCCACCACTGCCACTGTCCACCTGGGCCCACACGCTGTGCCGACCAGCCCTGAACCACGACGGAGCTCCTCCCCCTCCTCAGCTAGTCACAGGAACCCCTGGGAGGCCACAGGTGTGAGGGGGTCGCCCAGGTGAAGCTCACGCAGGTCTGGACCACCTGTGTGCGCAGGGCCTTGCTCATGTCTCTCCCAACCTCACGACAGGGCAGGTCTGAGGAAGCCAGGCCGGGCAGCCGGCCATGGTCCCGCGGCCAGGCAGGCCCTCTTTCTCAGGACCAGAACCACAGCTGCTCTCCCACAGACCACACATCCCCGCCCTGGACCCAGGGACCCCTGTGCGGCTGCTCCCACCCACACTTGCTGCAAAGCCTACGTTGCCCCCAGCCCCCCAGAGTCAGCTCAAACATAGCAGCAGGGACCTGGGGCCGTCCCTGCTGGCCCCGCTGGCCTTCTGTGGTACCAGGAGGTACTGGAGCAGGACTCCCAGAAGCCCCCAGCTGCGGCGCTCCTTCGTGGTGGCCTGCTGGTGCAGCCCCCTGTCCTCTGGGGAGGGACTCCCGTGTGCCCGGGACCCCTGGATTTCTCCCTGGAGTGCACGTGTCCCACGAAAGCCCCTTCTCCACCATCTGGTCTGATTCACACAGGGGTGTCGATTTGGGGGACAGCTGTGCTGTTCTGGGGATCTGAGGCTGGTCCAGGGGACTCTGGGCAGAAGAGTTACCGTTACCTGGGGAGGGACCACGTGTTCTCTGCAAGTGATTTACGCGGCTTCTGATACTCCTTCCTGATCAGGATGGAGGAGAATGCAGCCTCGCTCGCTCTTCTAGCTGTCCGCTGTCCTCCTGGACCCATCCCCGGCCTTTTGGGGTGGTCAGACTGGTGGGGCAAACACAGATGCCACGGGGCCATCCCCGACACCCTTCGGTCTTTAAATGTGTCGTCACTCACCCAGGAGGGCACGCTGCTCGTCACTGTCTTGACTGGGGGCAGTCACAGACACTTCCACTGGACTTGTCCATGCCGGTGGCCAAGGACGGGATATCAACCATCAAGTATGTGCACTCCACTTGTCCACTCTGGGCTTTGGGAAATGACCGCTGGCTGGGTGTGCGGACCCAAAGTCAGGGATCAGGCCCTGGCTGGAATCGCATTTGTGGGACCCCCACTCTAATCGGGGAGCTGCGGTCATGCTTTGGGCCTCAGGTTACCAGCATCAACTGGAACCCTGTATCCAGCAGTCCTCACATGCTTGGGCATGTCCCCTCCCCTGGGTTCAGTTACAGGGTCATGGGGAGGGCCTGGCACCATCCCCACAGTGCAGACTTACAGTTTGCTTCCTGAGGACCCGGCCCCCTTTTACCCCCTGGGTTCTGGGTCTGGAATCTGCCTGAAGCCTGGAAACTGGGCAAAGGACCACGACCTCTAATTGGAACCTCCTGGTCACGCATCCTTGATTTCTTCTCTTTGGACGCTTGTCCAGTCTCCGAGAACACTGTGTTCTGTTCACCACCACCTCGGCACCTCAGGCCCTTGGCCTGGCTCCACTCTTGCTGTGTCCACCTGGCCTCTGGTGGCCAGCTGCCACCATCCCTGTCAGGTCCGTTCCGTGACAGCCTCTCCCACGGTCAGCAGACCCTGCCAGGAGCCTCCACTGACCACACGATGCTGGTGCCTCTCCTACTGTGCTCTGGTGGCCTGGTTGCGTGGCGTGTCCTCCAGGCCACCTGGGGAGCCCACCCCAGCCTTCCACTGTGGCCATGGCCGTTGTGACAGTCTGCCCTTTTCAAGACTGCCTCCCCAGCCCTGTGACCGCAGCACCTTCTGGGACGGAGCCTCCGACCTCGGGAAAGGCTCCTGGTCAGTGAGCTCCCCTCAGCTGCCTGGGACAAGGTGCTGGGGCCTGAGTCCCCTCTGCCCTGCACTGAGCCACCATGTCCCCAACACATTACATCACTACTTATTTCCAAGAGGGAGGCGGGAGGGTCCTGAGAAGTGAGGCTCCTGCTTTCTTGAAGGAAGACTTCCCGTAAAGGGGTGGGCCACTTGTGTGGTCATCCCCGAGTGCCCATTCCCTCCAGGCAGCACCCTGGTCGGCACACAGCAGACCTGGGTTTCACCCGTGGGAGCCGGCTCCTCTGACCACTCAGTCCTCACAGCCTCCCTGCAACCTGTGGCCCTTTCCCAGAGTGACAGGGGACATCATCATCCCATACTCCCCACTACTGGACTCTGCCCGGCCCGTGCAGCCCCCTCCCAAGTCCCCATGGCGACAACTGTGACCGCTGGAATACCCACAGGGCAGAGTGGGCTCGGTCCTCCTGTCTCGCCACTGGCCCTTCTGGACCACCCCAGCTCTGTCCACCTGCGCTTGTTCCCAGAAGGGCTGTCAGTCCAGGCTGACCCCCCGGGAAGGGTCCACACGGTGGTGAGGGGGCCGGCCTTTGATCCCCCATGAAGTGACTATTCACTGGGAAAAGTCATGGCCGTGGCCATCCCTGCAAGGCCCAAGGGTGAGGTCCCCACAGCTGAGGACAGGCCGTCCCCTCCTATTCCCTGGCCCTGGCCTGATGCTGGGCCCCTGGTCTGCACGCTGTGTGCAGGCCACTGCCCACACACACCAGCCCCTCCAGCACTGCCAGGGCCTGCCCGGCCTCCCTCGCGCCCACCCCCAACTGTGCCCACCCCCAGTCCCTGGCCCAACTCGTCCTGCCCGTACTCTGGGCTAGCTGTGGGGGCCATCTCCTTGGCTCCTCACTCCCTCCCTGCCGGGTCCTGGACTAGGCCGGACTCCTGGGGACCCCACCTCAGGCACTGCTCTCAGCTCACACACGCCCCCCGCACCTGCCTTCCCACACCCCATTGGGTCTGCCCTCTGGCCCTCCTGCACCACTGGGCTCGCTCAGGCAAGCCTGGAGGGGGCTCCAACCCACTCCTTGGTGCAGGACGCTTGTTAAACAGATGACTGGGGGACTCTGGGCGTGTGGGTGCATTCTCTCTGATACCCCGGTACCCCCGCTGCCACATTGATCGTCCCTGGGGTGGGGGCGGGTCAGGGACTCGGGGGAGGGGCACTGGGACCTGAGCAGGGGGTGGGGTGGAGAAGGCTTCAGCCCGGCCTGTGGTTGGGTGGGACCAGCCTCCCGCCTCTGCAGAGACAAGCTGCCCTTCAGGCCACAAGCCCCCTCCCAGTCCAGGGGTCCCTCAAAGCCTTCATTGT